CTGTCTCCTTCTTAGAGGGAGTCACAGCTGTCCTGGGATAGGGGTAGAGAGGGGAAAGAGGAAATGCTGTTGAGACAGCCAGGAAATGCTGTTGAGGCACCCTAAGGAACATGAACCACCACAAGTCTGTCCTGGGACAGGGGTGGAGAAAGGCAGGAAATCTTGAGGCAGCCAAGGCAACAAGCATGGACCATGGCAGGTCTGTGCTGGCACAGTCATCAGCCAAGAGGGTGGCAGGCCACCTCCTGGCCAGCAATGTCTCTCTGTTTCCATCAGTACTACTCTGCTCCATACACCTATGAGCTGGCCCTGAAGTACCTGAACATTGCATTCACCATGGTGTTCTCCTTGGAGTGCGTCCTCAAGATCATCGCTTTTGGCTTCCTGGTGAGTGGCTGCTCCTGTTCTTTATGAGGTTGTTAATTTGGACTTTGGCAGCACACAGATCACAGAATGAAGGTGTTAATAATGTGAGGTTGTTGCTACCTATTTTGGATCCTGGCCTGAGAGCTGCTTTTAGGCTGGAATCGCTCCTTTGGTTCTCATTACCCTTCCCACTGCTGGATGCTGCTGGGGAAAGCCACACCACTGATTTACTTCTTGCCTTGTTTCTACTGTACTCTGATGCCTGGACCATGTATGTGCTGTGCTGCTGCTCTGTTAAAGCCAACTACTGCTGTACATGCTGGTGGCTGTGGTCCCTTGTCCCCAGGAGTCAGGAGGTGCTGGTGCACTGCTGTCCTTGGGCTGTATCAGTTAGATCAGACCTGAGCAGCAGTGAGACTTCCCTGCCTGATTCACAGTCCTCAAGTGCCCAGCTGCTCATTTAGGATTTGAAGCCACTGATTGCTTTTTCTTCAGCTATTCTTTGCTGCTTATGGGAGATGAGGTCCTCTAGCAGGATGGTTTCTAGCCACCCTCCTTGCTACCAGTAGCACCAGTCATGGTCACCGGCTGCTGAACAAATAACAGGGGCTGAGATGGGTCCAGGTGCCTATGAAGAGGAGGGTAAAACAGCCTCCTGACTGTGAGGACCAGCACAATGAGCTGCTGCAGCCTGACCTGAGCTGTCTGTGGCTGCTTCCCCCACTCCCATTTTCCAGGGTGGCCTGTTTGATGCATGAATCATCTCCTAGGAGAAGCTTCTTGCTGCAAACATGCTCAGGTCTGCCACTGTCTCAGACACAGGATGGTATACTGGACCGTGGCTGCATACAAATAGGCTGCCAGGTCTCCACCATTGTCCATGAGCAGCTTTGGCCCATGGCCCAGCACCCATCAGACCTGCCATTGCTGGGCTCAAATCAATGTTGCCTCTTTTCTTCATTTTGTAGAATTATTTCCGGGACACTTGGAACATCTTTGACTTCATCACTGTCATTGGCAGCATTACAGAGATCATCCTGACAGACACCAAGGTGAAGCAGGGGCTGGGAACAGTGGGGCATACTGCAGTGGGGTGAGGAGCTCCCACTTCCTTCTGACCCTCTCATTTCCTCACAGCTGGTGAACACCAGCAGCTTCAACATGAGCTTCCTGAAGCTTTTCCGAGCTGCTCGGCTCATCAAGCTGCTCCGCCAGGGTTACACCATCCGCATCCTGCTCTGGACATTCGTGCAGTCGTTCAAGGCAAGTCTCATGTGCCCTAATCTCCTCCCAGGCCACACTGATGTGCTGCTCCCAAATGCAGGCTGTTCCCATAGTCTTGTTGGAGAGATGGATCGGCACAGCTTACCTGCCCACTGTGCTTTTTGTACTTTGGAGCTGGACCTGTGATAAAGAATATGACTCATCTGCTTCTCTTACAGGCACTCCCCTACGTCTGCCTCCTGATCGCCATGCTTTTCTTCATCTACGCCATCATTGGGATGCAGGTGAGCACAGACATCTCCATGTGCATCCCTCTGGCATGGACAAGCTGTGCCAGCATGTCCTCAACATTATACACAGCAGCAAGCCTTGTGCCTGCCTGTCATTGCTTCCTGCAGTCATGGTGTCCAGGAAGGTCCCGAGGGTGGAACAGCTTGTTTGGGAGCTGCAGAGCCACGTACTCTGGGGAAAATCCCAGGGTCTTGTTCAGTCAAGCTCCACAGCTGCTTTCCTAGCTTGTACCTTTGGAGATGTAGCCTTGAGGACTCAGCTGGGCATCCTGTGTGGTGGCTGCTTGCAAATCATCACCTCTTTGTTTAAAAGTTACATCCTATCTCCAACCAGAAATCCCCCAGGGACTGATTTCATGCCTGAGGGACCCAGTGAGCAGCCTTCTGTCTTTCCCATCTGAATGGCTGGATCATGGTGGTGATCCACACAATCCACCTTGTTCCCTCCACAGAGGGTTCATGTTGTAGCCATGACACTGATGATCTGCTTGAGCACTCATGCTTAGGGCCCTGCAGTGACCCTCTGGCTGGTGGGAGGTCTGCAGAGCAGGGGGAGATGTCAGCTTTGCAGGCTTCAGCTGGTAAATAAGAAGCACGTGAGCCAAAACCCTCCGCTCCGCACGTGCCGCGGGGCTGGCTCACTTCTGCGGTGACTAAATCCCACGCTGAAGATCTGACAAAGCACCTTCCACGACGAATACTTGGGATGTGGAGCTGCCTGACGAGCAAGTTGCTGCAGTACCCACCCCACTCCCCCCAAAATCTGCCTGCCCGGGCAGTGCAGTGGCTCCCCACTTATGCTGCTTGGCAGTGCTGGTGTGTTTAGGATCTTCCACCCCCTCTCTTCCACCCCATGGCTGGTTTTTGCTGCTCTGTCCTACACATCTCTGCACCAGCTCCAGGTGTTCTCAGTACTAAACAGCCGCCATCTGACTCAGCCCCCCTGCCTGCTGTGTGGTAGTATTTGATTTATTTTTTTATTTTTTTTTTAACACCATTGTGAACAAATCCCCAAGCAGTAAAGTCTGTGGGCGTTATTTGAGCAAAATAGCTGGAGGCAGAAAATATTCTACAATTACACATTCCAAAAAACCTGTACAGGGAAAAAATACTCTGCAGTTAGTGTATTTTTAGGTTCAGGGAAAGGGGAATAAATATTTAACAGTAATAACAGCACATTTTTCCGATTTGAGGCACTTTATGAATGTTCGTTATGTCTTTCCATGGCCTTGACTGTGGGTTGTTGTGAGGATATTGTCCATGTTTTGGGCTTTGTTGCCTCTCTTGGCCCTGGAGATGATAGTCCTAGGTGTCTGGCTGTCCATGGTGGGTTAGCAGTCAGTCTGTCCTCCTTCCCTGAGCCATTCTCCACCCTGTTTGTATTGCTGTGCCTGACCCCAGCATCATATACCTTTTTTCCACCAAGGTAAAAGCTCCTAGGAGTTTCCAGGAACATGACTCAGCACTCAGCTTTGGTGCTGGAACTTCGTCCCTGCACCTCCAATGTACTTGGGATCACTGAGTGCCATGCAGTGCTCAGATGCTACATGTAACTCAGCAGAGGGATGGATATGGAGCACTTGGACTCAGTTGATCCCAGGTCCTCTGTGCTCCTGTTTCTATGGTAGCTCAGCCTCTCACAGCCTTTGCCACCCACCGCAAATCCCTGCCAAGGAGAGGAGAGTCTCCTTCCCTGATGGCTGCTTGGTGCTGGCTCCTTGGCATGCTGGTTGTGCACCAGCCTGTGTTTGCTGGGGTACTTTTTGTAGAATCAGAGAATGATTTGGGTTGGAAGGGGCTTTAAAGGTCATCTAGTCCAAGCCCCCTGCCATGGGCAGGGACATGTTCAACTAGGTCAGGTTGTCAGAGTGCTGTACTAACTAACCTTTAATGTTTTCAGGGATGGGAATGTGAATGTGCCGCCACTTCCCTGGCTGATGAGTTCTTGCTGGAAGAGCTGAGCCCTTTTTCTTTCTCCTGTAGGTTTTTGGCAATATCAAACTAGATGAGGAAAGCCACATTAACCGGCACAACAACTTCCGCAGCTTCCTGGGCTCCCTCATGCTCCTCTTCAGGTAAGCAGCCATAGAAAATGCTCCTCATCATGTCAGAGATGTATTTAATTTGGGCAGGGGCTTGCACAGCTTCTTGTGAGGTTTCTCCTGTGGGCATCCTGCCTCAACTCCATCCTGTGCCACCACGAGCTGCTGAGCACGGCTGTGTTGGGTGCAGGAGTGCCACGGGAGAGGCATGGCAGGAGATCATGCTGTCCTGCCTGGAGGGCAAAGGCTGTGAGCCAGACACGACAGCAACGTCTGGGCAGAATGAGAACGAGCGCTGCGGCACCGACCTGGCCTACGTTTACTTCGTTTCCTTCATCTTCTTCTGTTCTTTTCTGGTGAGTTCCTTCCCCTGAGAGCCCTGGAAATCTCCCTCATCAGCACTCTAGCCATAGGGTCATCTTCTATTATCTTCCCATGATCACTTTCTTCTCT